GTGTGTGTGTGTGTGTGTGTGTGTGTGTGTGTGAGAGAGAGAGAGAGAGAGAGAGAGAGAGAGAGAGAGAGAGAGAGAGAGAGAGATCGGAGACACAAACACACACAGAGAGAGAGAGAGAGAGAGAGAGAGAGAGAGAGAGAGAGAGAGAGAGAGAGAGAGAGAGATTCTTTTTGACCCCCTTTGCATCTTGGTTTCTTCTTGAGCTTCTGAGCATCCCAAACTAGCTAAGACCACCGCTTGCCTAGACTCCTTGCAGAGTCTGAGGAAATTTGGCCTCGTTTTCCTAGGACGAGGGAATGAGCTCCGGAGGTCAATAAAGCCCTCCAAAAATGATGAATGATTGAGCACCTGTGATGATGATAGTGATTACCAGAGCAATTAAACAGTTTGATTAAATGAGCCATCATAACAATGATGTCTGCGGGAAATCGGCCCTCTCATATAAAGACAGTGTGGAGGGGCTGGCAGAGGCGCGGAGAGCGCGCCGGGAGAGGGGCCGCGGCCCGCGCGGGGTTGACTCCAGTGGCCAAAGCAGGGACGGCGGGCTCTGGGAGCAGACTCAAGCCTAGGCTTTCCGACTCGGTTCCTCCCTGGCTTCAAGCCTAAGACACCCGACCCTTCTGAAACCTGAAGGACCACAGGGTCCTTTCCCTTCCCCCTCCCCCTGTTTTTTTTTTCCCTAGAAGAACTCCAAGATTACAAATATCCGCTTCATTTGACGCTCTTACTCGTCGACACATAAGAAAAGGTGAGTAAAAGAAAAGGAAAAGTTGTCTTCACATTTTTATTTCGGGGGGGGGCAATTAAACCTTCTCAGTTTAGCCGCCTAGGAGTAGAGAGAAACAGAGAGACAGAGACAGAATTTGGGAGAATTTCTGGCCTGACTAACCACTATTTTCTGCCTTGCGGAGTTGTGGATGGTAATGGGTCCAAGTTGTCGGTCCAAGGCGGCTGGAAGAGTTTACACTCAGTTTTAACTCTTCTAATTGTTCTTAATTTCAACATTGACTTTTTATTATCGCCAGTAGGCTTGTTGCTATTTTAAAGTCCGGGTTAGGTAAAAAGTTTCTTTTTCAAAAGGACTTCAGTTTCAGAGAGATAAACGCTTTCGCCAAGAACAAGTTCATGAGAAACCTCTATCTTTTAGTCTAAGCAAGCTTAACCTTTTTTTTCTTTATCTTTTTTTTTTTTAACACCACTACTCACCCCTTACCCTATTGATATAATAAAGCGATTTAGCATCCCGGTGACCTTTATTTAGCAAAACTTCACTAGCATTAAAAATAGCAGTAATAAGGTTTCTACCTGAGTAAAAATTCAGACAAATTAACTATTTCTGTGTTTTAAAGGAATCGTTGAAGAAATAATGGCTTGATTAGCTGGTGGTGATTTGGGGTTTTATAAAAGAAAAGCGTAAACCGCTTCCTACGATGGGCAGAGCAGAGAGGGTCTTTAACCCGAACCTTCCTCTTCCTCTTTCACCAGGGAATTTCTTATGTATTTTGTCTGATACACTAAAGGAAACAGCAGGGCAATCTGTTGAATATAGGGCACAGAAAGAAGGGTATTTTAAGATATTTTCGAAGAAAGGAATAATTTTAACGAGATTTTTAGTTAAGAAGTATGGGATGGTTGGAAATCGCACACTAAAGAACAGCTGTATGGCTCTGAAAAACACTTTATCTAAAAGGAGGTGCGGTTTCCTAGCAACTAAAAGGGGATTTGTTGCTCAGATGCATGCTAGCGGTGAAACTATTTGTTTAAATGTTAGTTTTTAAAATCCACCGCTACACTACACCACATGGGAGATGAAACTGGAGTTGGTTCAGTGTATCTCTCCTGGTTACTGGGATGACTTTAAAGGACTACGATTATCAAGGAATTGTGGGTATTTTGTTAATAATACAGCTGCAAAGGGGTCTTCTAGTTAGGGATTGATTGCCTGTTTTCCATCCCTGATTGCCCTGTCTGGAAGAAGCCATCCCACAGAAGCGTGGTGTCCACACTTTCTCTTCTCTGTCTGTGTGGATGCCTTGTTTTCAGAGCTCGGCATTCCACACCCTGGTCGTGGATGGATTTCCTCTCCCTCATTTGAGGTGAAGGGAAGTAGGTGGGGTAGTCCCAGAGACAAACAAGAGATGGGGGGGGGGGTCACAGGCGCATTGCACACCTCAGTCAACAGTCAGCTCCTCCTGCCAGGCTGGAAATGGTTTTAACAGGCGGTAAAATTTCATCTTGCGGTGTCAAATTGGGGTCATTTTGGGGTTAGAGTTCTCAGTGTCCGTGAGGAGCTGTCCAGCTGTGTGGGGACTCATTAACTGCAAAAGATCTGTTTCAGTAAAAACAATTCAAAGACAATCAGAAGGCTAAAGACTCTCTACAAATCGCATTTTACAAGTGCGCCAGAACAAATATGGTTGGTAAAACCTATTTCTTCACAATCCCAAATCAGCTACTTAGCTCTGGAGTGGGGGGTGGGAACATTGAATTAAAAAGGAGGTGAAGGGGGGGGGCTGCCGAAGGGGGGTGAATGAGAAGGAGAATTGGGCCTCTCAAATTTAAGAGTCTGTTTTTAATCACCCCTTTCTTATTGAAGCATCCCCTAGACTTCTGAAAAGCACTCCTTTCTATTTCTCCTTTTCTTCTTTTGATCCCTTGTGGAATGTTACTATAGGTAACATTAAGGATTTAAAAGAATAATGTAAGCCCCCTAGTTCTGTAGTCCAATGGCATTGGCTTTGTGGAGGGGAGTTCATTTGAAGTAGCACTTCTAAACTGGAACTTTATTTTAGCTGAACTTGCTCAGGCTTCTTGAGGTGTTATTTGTGGGTGTTCTTTTTATATGTCCCCCCCCAACACACACACAATTTCCAGATCCTCTGCACAGATAACTCCAAATTCCTCAGAACTGTGAAGTCCTGAAGTGTTAATCTGTGTATTAAAATCACCAGATTTAAATCCCTTTTGTCTTCTTTACAACAGTTAGAACAATTGATGCTTTACTACACGAGCAAGTAAATCCAGCCTTAATCTTGTTTGTAACTTCAGTTAATGTTTTGATTTGGAATATTTTGTATTAAGGAGACTTTTATGTAAGAAAAAAACCCCAGAGATTGTGTTTGATTTGGGGGAACCTCAATTTGAAGAAAGATGACCTATTCCTTGGACTTAAGAGGATTTCATTGGGTCAAAGAAGAGCTCAGGGTAAAATGGGAGGTTAAACATGGGAAACGCCAGGATTTTTTGACAAAACGTAGATCTATAAAAGAAAAGTATCATTAAGAAGGATATTTATTTCCTTGGATTACTGAACCTAGCAAGCAAGCAAAAAAAAAAATCCTCAAAAGGCACCATCCACAACTCTCTCTTTCTCTGTCTGTATCCCACCTCCGTTCCCCTCGTCCCCTTTCCCTCCGCACTGCTTTCCTTTGGGTTCTAAAGGAGGGTAAGTTTTTGAAGTCCCTCTCCTTTCTCCGGACTTCCCGGGGTGTTTGTAAATTGTTCTTCAAGGATTCTGTGGCCCTGCAGAAACCGCCCTGAGCCTAGTCTTATTGGGACAAAGGCACGGGGCTGTCTTGGTCCTGCTTCTGGATGACAGTTGGAATTTTTTATACATAGTTCATCATTTCGTGTTTCTAATAACGTGTTTGTCCCACTCTGCCCCTTGGAGCCACTTTTAAAACGTCTCTTCTCCTTAAACCTCCCTTCATCCTTGTGAACTGTTTTTGACCTCCCAAGCGCTGTAACAGAAAAGTTAGAAAGAATTCTACTCACTTCCTTACTTGTTACCTTGCTTTATGTTCTTTCTAGATGGCGTATACAGAGGGAAGGGGTTCCTTGGGGTCCCCTTTCCCCATCACCACCACCACCACTTATTGTTTTTTGCTTTTGTTTTGTTTTGTATTTATTTTTATTTATTTATTTTTTGCTTTTTTTTACCCCTTGGAGTTCTATTATAGATTTCCCTCCCTGGAAATAATACTATTAAAGCAATCTACAGCTTAAAAAAAAAAAGGATGTAGTAGAATTGCTTCATTTTGCTTTTTCCCTGTCTTATTTCTTCCAGTTTTAGCTGTTTCCCTGTGTCGCGGGAAGAACGAGTTTCAATAAGTAGCCCTCTAGCGCTATCTGGCGGGGCTCCAAACGCGCCGAGCACGACGCCGCTGTCAGTTTCTCCTTCCCGCGCCCTTCCCCTCGCGTCTTCCGCTATCTCTGGTCTCTTTTGCTCTCTGTACCCTATTTCCAGTTCCTTCTTTGCCCCTTCTGTCCCCTTTCTATACTTTATTACAGTTTCCAGTGCAGACAGCGAACCCTGTACCGGCCAGCACCTTAGCCCTTGCAACTAGATGGCAGTCCGGCCACCCAGATCTTGCAGGCTTTCCAGTCCTGAGCCAGCGTGGCTCACGTCCGTCTTCTCCCTTTGATGAGCACTTCAGCGGTGTTAAACGTGTTGACAAGTCCCACGGTCTCCGCGGGCGGTGTTTTGAAGGGGCTTAAAACTACAATTGGGAAGTTTGGTGGAAAGGAACAAGACACTGGACTTCCCCCGCTAGCACTGACCGGGCTAAGTTTGAGGTCTGAAGGCTTGGCACCCGGTGTGAGTGGAAAGGAGCATCTCAGGGACTGGACAGCAGGCAGGGGGCCAAGTCTTTGCCAAAGGAATGAGGTTTCGGTGGAACACGTGCTCTCAGCACCCCAAGATCTAGCTTTCCAAGAGACTATCTCAGTCTGCATGCCTGGCGCCTGCCCATTTTCTCTTCCTCAGTTAACCAGATTTATCCACAACATCCCCACCAAACACATGCACAATCTGGAGAGAAGTGTCAAAAGCAGGAGTAGGAAAGCCCCCCCCCCAAAACCCCCAGCCAACACATACCGCGCGAGAAAGCCAGTGGTTCTAAACCCGAGCCACAGGCATCTTTCGGTAACCTATAAACACTCGCGGTGTTAACCGAGGTTTGAAGAGGCAGAGACCAAGATAGGCGTCTCATCACAGGGCTGCTATGTGTATTCATATTCTCTATTTCTCTCCCCTTTCCCTCCTCCCTTCCCGTCCGTCCCTCCCTCCTTTCTGTTTCCCTCACTCTCCCTCTCATCCTTGTCTTCCTCCCTTTCCCTCAAGCTCAGCCTTAGAAAAACCTTCAATCTTTGCTTTCCACTTACCCCCTCTAAATGCCGGACACACGAGTCTGAAGGCCAGTTATGAGTGGGTTTCCTAAGAGCCAGTTACTGCTCTGAAGTAGAAATGAGGCCGCATGCCCTAACATACCTAGAAAGTGGCTACTACAGGTGTTAGAAACTTTGCCCTTCTAAGTTTTCTGAACCAGAGTCTCAACTCTGGACCGGCCTCTCTAAAAACCGGCAAAATAGAATGGCAAAGAGCCGGGAGGGTGAAGAATTCCTCCCACCCCCCAGTGCTGAGGGAAGGTGCAGTTTGCTTGTAATTAATTGAAGATTGTTATAAGGTCATCATTAGTCAACGTGCAAATAATTGCTGCCCATTTTTACTTAAAATTGACCAGCTCGAGTGTGAGAGATCGATTCAGAGGATAAAAATGATGTATCAAAACATCAATGTCGATTATTTGAAATATTGTCGTCGAATTTTTTTTTATTGCTTCATCGGTTAAGTGTCTGAAAGTGCGGTGTTCAAACACATATTTATGTTGTCAATACTGTCAGAACTGTCAGTTTTACACTACCGGATTTGTACTACATTTCAAATTTGTTCATTTGCATAAAATGCCCACCCCAGGATTCCCCTCACTCCCACCCACCCCATCTCGGGAAAATCCCTGTCAGTTTCTTCAAAGGATTCTGCGATCATTGCCTAAACTAAAGTGGGCACCGCTTCTATTCCTCAAATTCCCAGGACGAATTACACGTCTTTCTGCACCCTCTTCTAAATTTGGAAGAGGCACTTCCTCCTTTTTTGCCCAACTATGCCTAGCATAACCTTTTCTCCAAGACAGCGTTGGAGCAATGCAAACATCATATTCTAGCTACAAAATACGGCACTTGGGTAGGAGAACTGGTTCAAACAGTTTCCACCTTACCTTCTTGATCACCTTCAGGTAAACCCAGACTCCACCAAGCCTGGGCATCAGGGCCTACCATCAAAATACCTGAAAGATTGAAGTCTTCCAGGAAAATGAATGTAGGAGTAAAAATACCTTTTTTTTCTTTTTTTTTTTCTTTTAACTTAAAAGCTGCGATGGTAGGAGAGGAAATCACACACATAAGTGATCTGCACGTTTTACCTTTAAAAGCTTTTGAACTCCATCGAAAGACACAGGTTGCAAGCAGACCTGACAGTTTTAATTCTACCCATTTTCACGTAGCACGTCAGATCAGAGGCACTCATTTATTTTATGGGGTGGGGGCATTAGAAAAGCAGATAGGGTGAATTCGATTATCTCTATCCTAAAAATCCCAGAGAAACTGAACTCTCTTATTGAAACGCAAGCATTCCATCGCGCTTGCACAATTAGTCTAGACTAATTGAAATTTATAAATTCACATTCTGCTTAATCTTAGACTTTTCATCCTCTCAACACCCCCCACACCCCGCCCCGCACCCACCAGGATTCCAGCAAAGTCTGGGTAGGTAAGGATATGACGTTGTTTTAGTAAGCCGAAAGCATTTTCATTACCCTTTTAATGCATTTAAATAGGTCTGTTTGGACATTCAAAGAAGCTACACATACAAAGATGGTTTGGCTCCGTGCCGTCAATCCCAGCATTAAAAAAGGTAAAAAAAAAAAAAAAAAAATTCTGAGCGTCCCTATACTCATCCTTGCCTCGAATAAATAACTAAATAAGTAAATAAATAAAGTGCGAGGCAAAAGAAAGTTTACTGCTTGCATCTGTTGGTCGTTGTGCGCGCGTGTATAAACATCTTGGAGTCAGTGTTTGTACTTTAATCTCCCCCCCCTCGTAACCCCCTCCCCCACCCGGCAAGGGCGTGGAGAGATCGCCCCCAGAGAGCCGTGTTTACTCGTTTTTTTTTTTTTTAAATCTCTCGGCTATGTCTGACAAGTGTTACTTGAAGAAATTCATCGGCCTTCTCGAGATACTTCCAGGTTTGCTGTAATGATCTGCAAGAAGAGAACCGCCACCACTTTCTCACATCCCAAGGTGTTGGCGGAACTGGAGCGAGGGGAGAGTGACTGCCAGGCTTAATTGCGGGGGGGAGGGGGGAGGCGGGGTGCCTCCCGGGATCCGAACCGGGGCGGGGGTTGGGGAGGTAAGATGAAACCCAGGTAGGGTCTTTCTGGACTTCTGGACGCTGAAGTCACCAGTTGAAGAATATTTGGACAAGGTATGATTGTCTTATCCCCCCCCCCCATCCCAATGCCTTTGGGGAGAAGTGATACCCTTGTGTAACAATTAGCTCAGACAATAAAAATAATTGGAAAATCAGTTGGAATTTCTGAGTTTTTAATTACGTTTAATTTTGCACTAAGCCGTAAAATTACGAATGCCCCTCAATTAAACACTTTCCTCTTGCAAAGCGTTTAGCAACAATTATTCCTTAATCAGTCTGAATGTGAGTCACAAATGGTGCTTTTCCACATCAAAAGGACGTCCTTCCACGTTACCTTTTAGTCATAAGAGGATTAATTCCTGTAATTAGAGGGATAAATATGTGCATAAATATCTCTCTCACTCTCTTCTTTAAAACAACAACAACAAAACACTTTCGCTGTGTGCGAGACACAGTGGGCGCAGAAAGGGGAAGTGTTCATGCCGCTGAGGGGTGGGTTTTGGCCGGACACCCCTTTGCGTGCTCTGGCCACAGGAATCCCGGGCTGCGACTGGAAGGACACACAAGCACTCACACTCAGGGATGCGCTCGGCTCAGGCCGCAAGTCCAAAGCTGGGGTTGCAAGGACCCGAGTCCAGCCAGATTCTTCCAGATTGCATTCCACACCCCACTTTCGCCTCTGGCCGGCGCAGCAGGACTTCATTCTGGTCGGTGCCCGGGTCCCCTGGAATGGAAGTCCCTGCCCTAAACCGGAGCTCCAGTTTGACTTTTCAGGCTGCAAATAAAAATTGAGCATGACCTTTTAAAACTCCAGTGTGAATATCTCATTTACCTAATGACTTTATGTCACCTACGGAGAAGGTCAATTTCCTCTTAACCTTTCCCCCGCTGCTGCAGTAAGCATTCTTCCCTAATCAATGGTGGCTCGAATGATCAATTCCCATTTTATGATCGCGGACAAAGTCTGGTTAGGGGTGGGGAGTGAGGACCCAAGTTGTTGGCTAGGCCAGGACGGGGGGCGTCGGGTACGCCCAGCTCCGCCAGGAACCTCGGGAGGCTGCTCTCTCTCCACCGAGTTCAGAGACCTTGGCAAACTTCCCTCCCCCACCCGCCGGCGAGACTTCTGAGTTGTCACTAATCCGAACCTGAAATTCACCAGAGCCCCTTCGGTTACCGACAACGCTCCTCGCTGTTGCTGGGCCTCCCGCTTGCCCTTCCTCCGAATGCTTTCATTTCTAAGTCTTGGAGTAGGATTGCCCGACCCTAAGGAGAGAGAGTGTGCGTGTGTTACTTTTATTTTTCGAAATTAAAATTATCTCTTGCATCTTCACCGTGGATCTCTCAGCTCCTCTGTGTTAACTTCATGTAAACAAAGCAACAACAAAAGCCCAAGGGCCAGGGATTTTCGGATTCTCTGATTCATTCTCTCTTTCTCTGTCTCTCCTCTCTCTCCTCTCTTCTCTTCTCTTCTCTTCTCTTCTCTTCTCTTCTCTTCTCTTCTCTTCTCTTCTCTTCTCTTCTCTTCTCTTCTCTTCTCTTCTCTTCTCTCTCTCTCTCTCTCTCTCTCTCTCTCTCTCTCTCTCTCTCTCTCTCTCTCTCCCTCTCTCTTCTATTTAAGATATCCAAGCCTTTCTCAAGTCTGGGAAACAAGAGGCAAATTACTAAATGAAAGCTGATTTGGAGTACTTTTACATCTCTTCCTCTTTGCATGTTCAAGGTGATCACCTCCCTCTTCCAGACTCTCCTACAGCAGTTGACTTTCGCAGACATTTCTTGACACCAATTCTCCACAGAAAAGCTGGAAATTCACCTTATTCCACCCCAAACCGGTTTTCAAGGACTTTCAAGACCTGCTGAAGTCGCTGACTTATCAACTGACTGGCAGAGCCTTGCCTAGCTAAGATTCCATCACAGGAAATCCATCGCTCTAGGAAAAAGATGTCCTGTGGGCGGGGTTTGGGGCGATTTCCTTTGAGGGACAATCTCTCAGTTCTGTGCTGACCAGCTAGTTAAAACAGAAACTTTAACTCCTGAGATTTCTGTTTGGCCTGCTCTGGCTATGGAGACACTCTTTGTAAAAGAATATAAATTACTCCGTTAGCTCAGAGTATCTCATTACTTGTGGGCAGGTATTTTGCAAAAATTTGAGTCTTTGAGGTAATCAAATGAAAACGTAACTCTTCCACTCTTTATCCCCCACTCTGACCTAAGGACAAACAGAAGATAGAATGAGCAGTCAAGGTGACTCATTGGCCTTGTTCCTCAGCAGTATGGCCACTCTTGGCTCAGGCCCATGATGCTGGCTTGAGATACTCAGAGACAGCAAGGACAAGTCACGCTCAGGAACTGACCGGGACAGAGTGCTTAACCCCCCAGTCTTACAGCTTATCGTGATCCCTACCAGGAACTACGTTTGCCGGTCTTAATGAGCTGGATTCTGGATTCAACCAAGCACAAGGGCTGGTAAAGCCCAAGCTGTACTTTGCAACACTTTGGCTTTTAGAAGATTTGTCTCCTATTTCACTGAACTACAACCTGTCTGTGGGTCAGGAAGTTCTTATACTGGAAGCTTCCAATAACTAAGAGAACTCAGTGGGACTTGTATCTCTGTTTGTCAGTGGAGCAGACAGATAGGGGATGGGCCCCTTGACCTCAGATGATTACCAAATCTTTCCTCTTCAGCAAATTTAATTCTCACATGAAGAGTAATTACCAACCTCTGAGAATTTCCTTTTTCTTATCTTAACAGCTTTCATGGGGATATTGAAGAATACGCTTGGTAGTCATTTCAGGTTCCATTGCATTTCAACATCTTGTATTCTTCCCATTTCTTCCCCAGTCTCCATGAACACAGTTAGCACAGTCTTGGGCTACCTCCTGAACCAGTATGCCAACTCCACATCCATCTCCAACCCAACAGAGAGCAAAGCTATGCATTCCTCCGTTATCCATAGGACTCATTCCGAGATGCCTGGTGGATGTCTGAAACCATGGAAAGAACTGAACTCCGGTATGCTTTTTCCTATATACACTTACCTATGATCAAGATTAATCTGTAAATTAAACACCACAAGAGAGTAACAGGCATAGCCAAAGAGAGCAATTTAAAAAAATATGCTGTAGCAAAAAATTATTAAAACTTGTGAATTGCTCAGTTTCTGACTTTCCCATTTAATGTCTTGGGTATAGGGTTGACCATGAGTACTTGAAATGGCAAAAAAGCAAACCCTCAAATAAGGGGTACTGCTATAAACTAGATTGTGGAGACTACTTCTCCACATTAGGAGTGCTTAATCTGGAGAGCACTTTTGAAGAAAGTTTGTCTTATTTTGTTTTGTTCTGTTAACAGTAATGCTCCCCCCCTTTTGTCCCTAGAAGCATCTCATTTGGGGCTATAAGTCAGTGTATGTGTCAAAAGACAAGACACAGTCCTGGAATGGGAAGAATGTCCACAAACACTACCAGCTGCTCAAGGCTATATGAAGAAAACCTTGCACCTCTTTGTGGGAAGATATCTCCTTCAGACATCTCCAGTGGTGAAAGGGTCTCAACAAAAAGGAGCTTCTGGGACTGAGGGGACTCAGAATGTGACCTGGAGGCAGGTCCTGGCCCTGGGTCTGTCCCCAGCTAACTATATACTCTTAAAGCACCTGAGCCATTTTCTTTAAATCGAAGCGTGAGACTTGTACACATTTACAGGATCCAGTACCATGATTTAATATATATCTACAGTGTGCGCTGATCAAACAGGACAAAAGCACTTCCATGTCATCAAATATTAATAAATTTTGCATGCTAAAACTTCCATATTCTTCTAACTGTTTTGAAATGTAATAATATGGATTATTACAACCCATCATTATCCTGCTGTGCTGTAAACAACCCGAATGAATTCCATCAAGCTGTGTTTTGGTCTCCTTTAATTTCTTTCCATCACCTCTTCCTCTGTTCTTTCCACTCTCTAGAGATTACTGTTCTACCACATCCTTTGATGAGATCCACTTTTTGTTTCTGCATTGTATGCTATTTACCGGTCCGGTTCTGGCTGATTTCACTTAATATAATGACCTCCAATTCTATACATGTTGTCACAAATGACAAAGCCACATTTTTTTTTCTTGTGATATAACGTGCACACACACACACACCCCACTTCATTGTGTCTCATACTTTCTTCACCCGCCACCCTTCAGTGTTCACCTGGGTTGGCTTAATAGACCATTAGTGTTTCACTCTTCAGGTGGCATACACGGCATCTTTCGGTACTATGAAAGCCAGCCGAAGGAAAGCAATGCTTTAATCAGTTTAAGACTGATTTTGGGGGCTGGAGAGATGGCTCAGAGGTTAAGAGCATTGCCTGCTCTTCCAAAGGTCCTGAATTCATTTCCCAGCAACCACAAGGTAGCTCACAACCATCTGTAATGGGGTCTGGTGCCCTCTTCTGGACTGCAGGCATACACACAGACAGAATATTGTAAAAATAATTTTAAAAAATGATTGATTTTGTTGTGCCCTGCAACCAAAATATGAGGAAACTTCAGCAGTGCAGTCTCGTTCTGATGGGTAGTATTCTATTTTGTTTGCTTTGGAGACTTCTAAGTTCTCCCTGACCAATAATAACTCATGGGGAAGTATCCCATGTCTGACACTGAGATTTTTATTTGACAACTCATCCTTTCTGGGAGCAGCTTTGTCCATGATGAATATTTGTTGTTTTGTCTTTTTGACTACAGCCAGTCTAACTTGAATGTTATTTCTCATTGTAGTTTTAATGTGCGTTTCTTTGAAGATTATTGATTATTTGGCATTTTTCAAATATTTTTGGCCATGTCACTTTTCTAATGTATTGAACATCAATAACCTTCAGCAAAAAATTGTGACAGTATCTGACATAGATGGACACCCTCTGCTGGCTCCTCAACACCCACACTACTTTTTCCTTCTTGTTTTTTGAGCCTCAAGGTTGGCATGAGTAGGTTCAGAACTCTAACGTAGACATGCTTTCCTGTTTAGTATGTCCAGAACGGGTCAAGTTCCTTTTGGGTGTTGATTCCTAGGGTCCCAGTGGACTGGTTGCATATCAACCCCTACTCACAATTCTCTTTCTGGGTTCAGGTAACCATGTTGTTCTCTGTCTTTGGGACTGTCTTTGGGGCACCATACTTTCCCCTTGTGGCTTACTTAATACCCTGCTCACACTTTTTAACTCTAGCTCCTTTCTTTATTAAGTTCTCAAATTACCCAGTTTGATGTGCACCATCTGTTTACTGCTGGCCTCTGACTGGTACGCATGATGTGTTCGGAGGACCAAAATTAAAGGAGCGAGCACATGTAAGGCGTGTTTCACAGTCCTTTGCGTTCAGCAAAAGTTAAATAAAGAAGACACGTTATTTTTACAATCATTACCTGGTAATACTTTCTTATTTTAAATGTGGGGAAATTAGGCCCCAGAGCAGAGAATTAACGTATCCTAGACCCAATTAACTCAAACCAGTAACAACCCAAAGACCAAATCCCTGGACTGTGGAGCCAAGTTCACTGCTCCTTTGGAAATATCTTGTTGAGTTGGGGGGGGGGGGTCCTTTTTCCATAGCTGCATGGAAAGGAGGAGACGAGCTAGGGTCAGAGGCACATTAGTTAGCATGTGCCTGCCAACTACCACCACCTTTGTCTCTACTAAATTATTGCTGAAATAAAGTCTGTCTTGGCAATTTAGAACCCAGTGATTTCACAATGGATGGAACAGGTATGTAACAGGGTGTGAGATGCATGCTTGACAGGTTAAAAACAAATTTATGAGCACAAATTGGAAGTTTTACCAGAGGGCATAATAATGCTTTCCAGACATAGACGATATGGCAGCATTAATTTTCAAATAAAGGCTGATCTGGGGATTAGCAGCCTGGATTACATAGGAACTTCATAATTCTTTAGAACACACTGATGCGCTATGAACTCCTCTAGGAACAGTCCCAAATCCTCGTCCACAGACACTGGGCGATGTAACTGCACTAATCAGGCGAGGGAAATTGTTTACTCATTCCTTCCTATTTTAACCCAGTCATTCAAAGAAATACTGAGTTTCAATGTTCCTCTAGAACACTTATAGGTGTTCACACGTGAGGAATGCTTAGATACGTTTCTGGATTCAGTAGGCTTGTAAAGGGAGCTAGACGGAGGTGTACAAACAGACTTTGGGAAGAAACAAGGAAGAAATATTCTGCTGCTGCTGTGCAGACACTGAAGAATCCAAGGAGGGCAGGGAAATTGAGAGCGGAGCAGACGCCCCTGGGAAAGTCTAAGCGAAGAGCGGTACCTCTCCACCCAACTGCAATTTAGTCGTCTAAATCCTTCCAAACTACCAATGATGTCAACTTATTAATATTTATCATTTTAGTAACCTAACTATTAGTAATAATGTAAAGCATGTAATAGTGGATTTTTACTCTGCTATAGCAGGTTGACTGGGGTATATATGGAACTGAGAAAAATTTAAATAATGCTTCCCTTGGTGACTGGAGTGTATAATAGGAAAAGTGGGCTAAATTTAAAAGGTGATATTATATACAGGCTCTGTGGAAAATGTCACCTGACAAAAAGATTGCATTAGTGTACTACACCAATTAAGTCTTGTTTATAGAATAAGTTGGGCTAGGCTCCACAGAGATCCAGCTTTAAAAACGAGTTGGGAATCTATGTGTGCCTGGAGAAGAATTATGAAATAATGGTGTTTATTTATGAACCCAGGATTTATGCATCTGCAATCGGAGATGCTAATAAATACAACACAACCCAAATTAGCTATTTCTACATATGCATCACAACATTGGTCATTTCTGTTTCAGTTGGGATTGATGCCTAAGGGTGCTTTACTTTCCCTTGATGATGCTTCTACACTTTGTTGTCTTTCCACCCCAGATCTCTAACCTTGGTTGGTGCTCATTTCTGCTGTGTGTGTCCACTGGCCTTATTTGTCTGAGCTTACTTCTCTATTTTTCTCCAGCCCCATGTCTCAAAAGCCACCTCCAGTCACATCAATTAAGTATGCATGCATGTCTGTACATATTATGTATGTGTGTTCTTCTGGTTTAGTTACCCACAGTTATGTCTACAACCCGGAACTTAAAGTATCTTTTAATGTCTCAAATGTGTAGAGTTGGAATTTTTTTTTCTTTCCCCCAATCTATCATGCATGTCATCACTTTCTATCACAACTTACTATTCTTTTATCATTGTGACATTTATTGTGTGTCTTTTTTGTTTTTGATTAGCTTCTGACAATTCATGAGACATATGTTGCTTTGTTTATCTCCTTCCTAATAAAGCATGGAGAAGCATATCTTTTGATGCATACATTTATATTTTCTATTGTCTTAAAAATTAAAATAGATGTGTGTGTGTGTGTGTGTGTGTTGGGTGGGGGAGGACATGCCACAGCACTTATGTGGATATCAGAGTACAGCTTGCTAAAGGCAGTTTTCACTTTACATTAGGTGGATCCTGGGGATTAAGCTCAATTCCTCAAACTTGGCGACAAGTGCCTCTACCCTGCAGAGCCATCTCACCATCATCTCCACAGTCTTATCCTCTTTGTGGTGACATTGCTATTTTTTTTTGAGTTACTAATTTTTTTTAAAAGATTTATTTGTTTTATTTTATGCGTGTGAATGCTTTGTTTACATGCATGTCTGTATACCACATGTATGCCTGGTGCCCTTGGAAGTCAGATGAGGGCATTAGAGCCTCTGGAACTGCAGTTACAGGAGGTTAGGAGCTGCCAAGCGTGTGATGGGAACTGAACCTCTTCTCCAAGAACAGCAAGTGCTCTTAGCTGCTGAGCCATTTTCCCTGCCACTGTGACGTTACCGTTTTCAATGCCAGTCAACGATGTCTTGACTTTGGTTTTCAGTGTAGTATTTGTCATATAGAGAAGTGTCTACAAACTTGGGCTGAAACCTGAGTGTCCTTCAAGACTCCACGTGCTGATCTTAGGGATGATCTTATTAGGAGGTAGTGACACCTTTAAGAGTTGAGCCTGATAGGAGGCTGGGTGTTACTGGGTAGCTCTCCAGAGAACTAATGTGGGCCAAACCTTTTCAATACTCTCTATTCTCTGCCTCACAGAATGGTTTTCTCCTGCCATGAATTCACTCGTGTCTTGATGTACTATTGCTTTGTCATAGGTTCAGAGCAATAGGGCTGTCCAGTTCGGGAATAAGACTGTCAAGACTGCAAATTAAAAGTGTGCTATCCCTCTTATAAATGAAGTGTCTCAGGTAATTTCTTACAGTAACGGGAACCTAACACAGGCAATAAATATGTAAGTAGCTTTATATATATATATATATTTATATACATTTATTTTTGCCTAAACTCTTTTAAGACCATGTTTGGGAATAAAGCCTTTGTCTTTTCTTCAAAATCAGAATAGATTTCCTTGAATTAAAAGAAAGATGGGCTGAGGGCTTCATGAAAATTTAAGTCATCCCCAAGGTTTTCTCACATTTGGACTGTTTTGAGAAAACCCCCAGGAGAGTCTTTACCTTAAACTTCAGGAATCTTCTGTTTCTTTGACTGGAGGGTTCAGAGTTTGTAGGAAGTATTTCTGAGCCTGCACACTCCCCATTTGTGGGCAGTCATCCTCTGGAAGTTGTCCAAATTCGACAGGGACTTTAGAAGGCATTCTCCCCTCTTCTCTCCTTTGTCTCTTTCTCTTCCTATCTTTTCTCATTCCTCTCTTTCATTGCTCCTTTCTCTACCAGCTACTCAGAACCTTTCAACTGTTCTCATCTCTCTAGTCCTCCTGTTCTACTTCCTGCCTCACCCAGACCAAGGTTTTCTGCTGTGAGTTTTCTCAATATTCTCTGCTCCATAGTCTTTGGGACTCCCTGCCCCTAAATCACAGTGTTACTGCTTTTCATGCCCACTAACTATTTTTCTACTTCTGTTTTTCATGATGTACTTGCCACAGAGAGAAGTGTGCAGACATTAAAGGAGTATTTGTCAACCAGCTACCCAATATTTTTCATCTTCTGCTTCTCCTCCTGGAATAAGTACTGTCTGTCCTAGTCAGTAGTTGGTCAGTGTGCATAATATTGAACTGTATGTTAAATCTCAGATGAATGATCTATATTATATATAGTAGATATCATATGTTATTAACATATTTACCTATGTACACAGAGAGTCACACTTATGTCTATTATGGCTTATGTTCTGTCTTATATAAAAGATTTTTCTTGTTTTCTGAGGTTATAAAGATAGTTTTCTGTGAAATTATTTAATTCCTAATTGCTTTTTCTTTTCATATGACTTAATCTATTACCAACAGGGGATTTCTTTTTATGCATAAGAGCGAGGGAAGAATCTTCTTTTATATTTTCTATATAATCAACCTGCTAACTCCATTGCTTCTTTGGTGATCTCTGATGTCAGTCTATAAATTCTCCTTGGGTCTTCAATTCATGCTGAAAAAAGTACTATTGCCTGCAGAAAATAATAGTTTCCCCCTCCCTCCCTCCCTGCATATTTGCCTCTCTCTCTCTCTCTCTCTCTCTCTCTCTCTCTCTCTCTCTCTCTCTCTCTCTCTCTCTCTCTTTCTACTTTTATTTCTCCATCCCTTAGCCCAGCCCCCACTTCTCTTACTGCCTTATCTCGGATCAGCTCTCCAGGACGTGGCTGGAAGAGGGGCATTCCTACACTGAACACGTCATTATCTCCTCCCTCTGATCTCTCCCTTACAAATACTGTTTACTGTGGCGAACTGACAAGCATCTTGATGGGACTGAGGGACTTCACCCCCACTTTGTGCCGAATTTACTGAGACCTTACTGTTTTAAATGCATGTTAAGTATTGCAGTGAGTTATTTGGCTCCTCCTCTCACCATGTGATATTTTTGCTTACAGTACTAGAAGGCACCTGTGTACCTCGACTGCATCCATGACTACGGTACCGGTATTGTATTGCGTAGCTAGATTTGGCTAATGTCATTTGGCTTCTGAGCTTTGGGTTTCTGCTGCTACAAGAGAAGAGCTACTCATCTCTCCTTTCTTTTTTCTTTAGCATTTTTAGAAAACATCATCTTTGCCTAATTTTGGTAAGAGGATTTTGTTATCCTCACACAAAGAATTACACATAAGGAAGATTTCTTTCCAGCTTGTTTTCAGACAAGAGAGTATCTGATGAAAATGACTGATTTCTTAAAAACATGGTAGTGTTCGTTTTCAAAATAATACTGGGATACTTTTAAAGAAAAATCCTTTTTTTGCTTTTTCGAGACATGGTTTTTCTGTATAAAAGCTCCGGCTATTCTGAAACTTTGTAGGCCAAGCCTTGAACTCAAAGAAATATGCCTGCCTCTGTCTGCCTCCCAAGAGTTGAGATTAAAGGCATGTGCCACCATTGCCTGGCCACAAAAAGGTTCTTTATCACTCTTTCAGTTTTCTTAAGAATTATTAACTCACATCTGCTTTTCTTTTTAGTCATGTTCTAGCACATAAGTTATTTTTATATGAATTTCTTTATATCGTATTTGTTTTTAACTCCTTTCATATTGAAGCATATTAGTTCACTAATAAAATATTTTAAATGTCTATTTTGTCTACATGTATACTCCCCTTTTCACCCTAATTTTTATGACCAGTAAAATTTTGTTTACAAGAATGGCCGGTGGTTTTTCTTTCTATAGCTTAAAAGAGAAAATAACAACAACTGAGCTGCATGTCATGGGTAATTTCTCACGGAGATAAACTAAGCATCAACAACTAACCTCAACCATTAAATTTTATAATGTATTCATTCATGCAAATTCCAAGAGCTACTATACCTGAGAAGTGGGTGTTGAAAAGAAAATGGTGGTTGCCTGGGGGTCAGATGACTTACTTCTTGTGGTATGACCCTAGGCAGGGCTCTGGAATTAACTGTGGCTGGCCCCTTAGATAATATCAAAGAATGTCTCCAGACCTATGGCTTGTTATGTATTTCAGACAATAGAGAACTACCTGGTCTCCCCTTTTACTGACTGTTCAAAGGCCTCCTGTCTCTATAATTCTGGGAGCTCTGGATAAGATTAAATCATGAATAAATAGCTCAGGGATCACAGGGTAAAGAAAACACAAACTGATTCTGCTCTATGAAAAAGTTCATTGTCGTCTTCTATTAAGTGTTTCTTATTTTGAGCATCCATCCCGTTATCTAGGTTTCTAAAATCTAAAGCAATCTTGGTTTGCTCCTATTATACAGATAAGAGATTAAATGTGAGGACCTTAACATATTTTAAAATTAAATATAGCTGATCACGTTTAGCAGCTGGAAAAGAGGAGCAGGAAAACCTGAGTGAATGAGAACTAGAAAATCACTTCATTGGTGATCGAGTGGTGTCATTCTACTTTGCATTTGTGATTTCAAGAAGACCAGGAAAATGTATAGGACGTGATAAATGCTAAGGACCAGCAGCCTGTGGTCTGAGACAGAGCATCGAACAGGTGGCTATGAATTCGCCCTTTGCTTTAAATTCTGCTGAGACAGGTAGTACACTTGAGTTCTGTGAGCTGTGAGGAGGCAGCAGAAAGCTTGAATAGCTTGCACTGAATATCATATTCTACTTTCAGAAAGACATCTGCGTTGTGGAGATGTGGCTGGGCGATGCTGAGAGAAGAAGCTGAAGGACGTGCTGCGTGTTTACACTTGCGCAGAAACTCGGGCTCTGGACACTCGGGAGTTTACCTCCCTCAACCACTTAAAATGTTTCTTGGCTTCAGGAAATAGAAAATCCTGATTTTCTTAAGTCATAACACACACACACACACACACACACACAGAGTTCTTTATTGGCAGGACTGAGGCTGGTCCTGTCCCTTATCTTGAGCTCTTCCATCCTAAGCTTAATCCTTAGACTGGAAGCCAGATGCTACAGCAGTTCCACTTTCCTGTAACCGCACTGTGAGGAAGAGTGTTTGTCTTCCTCTGGATGCTATAGGAAATGCTATGGTGATGGACAGAGACCAGAGATGGGGATGGGAGGTGGGGGAGTGCAAAGAGAGACAAGGACAGACAGACAGACACACACACATACACAGAGAAATAGAGATAGATAGATGATAGAGAGATGACAGATATAGAGTTAGGGAGGAACAGAGATGGAGAGAGAGATAAAGATAAGTAGATAAATAGATG